TCTCCATGATATCTCCTCCATTTGTAACCTGTTAGCCAATTCAATTCTCAAAGATACTCTGTGAGTCAAACCTTCAGTAGCCAAAACAACCTCACCCCCCATCCCATCAATTGTCTCAATTCCTTGAAACAAGACTTGCGTGTACATACCTCAACCACATGAATCATTTTGTGACAAACCACCCTCTCAAAGGTATTTTACAAATTATGCAGAGCAATAAGGTGGTCGTCGAGTAAACAATTCACATGTTAGAACCACAAGTCGGGTTGCAGTGATGTGGGATGAGTGTGTGAAATTTTACATTGATTGCAACCATTATTGTCTTTTTAAGATGTATGGTATGGCATTCTTATATGATATTGCCTATCAAATCCCCATTATTGTGCAAATCTAATATGGGAAGATAAAGTGTGGAGGAATTATTGGAGCGAGTATATGATGAAAAATTTGGGATGTTTGCTAGGATTGCATTTTGGTCCTTTGCCCCCACGAGATCACAAGAGAATCCTTAGCAACATTCAAGAGACTACGGCCTTCTACACCCGCATGCTTGATAGTTTATTACAATTTTCATGAACTTTTCTTGCAAATCTCCATTCTTTCATTTTGAATGTGAAGGAAAATAATTCCAGACAACATGGGAAAAGCTTGTGGAATAGCTTGGGAAAAGCTTGGCTCACTAGAGAGAGTTCAAGACCACATGGGAAAAACTTGTGGAAACAATTTACCCAAAGGAAAGAAAATTTCCAGGAGTATATACGGTGGAAGGTGGGTAAGAGGGATGGAGTTAGACTATGGGAGGATCAGTGGCTGGAAGAGGGCACTTTGAGAGCACGTTTTCCTCATATATATATGCAATTGCACAACAGAAAAACATTCAGATTTATGATTCTTTAGTGGAGAACTAGCGGTGGGAAGGTATGACAGGTACCATAATTTGATTTGGTATTTTCAAATCAGATGTCATGTGACATTGGATGTAAAAGAAAAAATTATGGACTGATCTATATTTTAAAAAAATACAGAAAATGTTTTCCTTTCCCTTTCCCGCATCTCTCTCTTCCTTCGCTTCTTCCTTGTTTCCTCCTCTCTATAGCTTTCTCCTTCTTCCTCCTCTCTCCATATATATGTACATATATAAATAGAGAGACTATATAACTAAAAGGTGTACACTTCTTGTCTCTCTCCTCTATATCTGCTTCTCCTTTCTTCCTACTCTTTATATATACATATATGTATATATAGTATATACTTAAATAGGTGTGCGCTTCTTGTCTCTCTCCTCTGTATCTGCTTCTCCTTTCTTCCCACTCTCAATATATATGTATGTATATATTGACAGCATATAATTGGAAAAGTAGGGGCGCCCTTCCATACTCTCCCTGCTGAATACAATCAAGTGGGGACATCTAATCCTCCCTCTTCTTCATTTTATTTCATATATCATTAATTCTATTCACCTTTTTCTCATTCTTCATTTTATTTCATATTATTTATTCAAATTTCAATCACAATATTCTTCTTTTTCTCATTCTTAATCTAAACATAAGTTAAATGAAATTAAATTAACTTTGGATAATCCATGACCAAAGCAGCAAAACCATGGAAGGGGTTTCCATTTCCAGACTATACTCTCTCTTGTTTCCAATCTATCCAAATTAAATTAAATTAAACTCACTTTTTTTAATTTTCCTTTTTGTTTTCTGGGTAAAATACAACAATATCCTCTCTCTCTATTTATATATGGATATATAGAGAGGCGGTAGAAATGAGAAGCAAATAGAGAGGAGGAGAGAGACGAGGAAAAAGAGAAGGAAGAGAGAAAAGTGTGAAACGGAAGATACTTTCTGGTTTTATTTTTTAAATTTTGGATCGGTTCATAGAGGTCCAAAATTATTTTTTTAACTAGTCCAACATTAATTTTTACACGTCAAACATGAACAATAGCAAGTCAAATTATGTCACGTGTCATGTCTACTTACATCTGACACAGGCATTAACAAAGTTAGTAGACACTAACCGAGAGAAATTAATTTGGATATTTTTTGAAAGTACAAGCAAAACTAGGACAGAGACCAAATCAAACAAAAAAATAATAAAATAACTAAAAAAGTATTTAAGCCCCTAAGAAACATTAATACTTCAAATAATAATAAATAGTATTAGTAATAGTAGTAGTAATAATAATAATATTTTATATAATTATTTTTCTAGATCATTCTTTCCACTAAAACAAAATTTTTCCTCGAGTTTCTGCTCTTTAAAGAACTTGAAGAAGCAAAATTAGCAAAAATATTAATTTAAGAAAAGCCTAAATTTTCAAGAATTTCTCTCAAATTTATTGTAATTTGTGTGCTTACAACCTACAGGCAAAAAGCCTATTTATAGCCTTCTCCGAGATAATTTTAGATAATTACAATCTCTTAAAAAAATTAATAAAATAATATTTTAAATAAAATTCTATCTAATTATAAAATAATTACATAATAAAATATTTATTTTATCATATCTAAATACAAGATAATTAATTAAATAATCCTAACGATAGAATTTACATTAAAATAATAATAAAAATAGGATAAAACTTTATTTCATGTGATTTCCATGTAAAACACATGAAGAAATTAATTTAAACATGTGAGAATTAAATTAAAACATGGGGAATTAAAAAGATATTAAAATAATTAAGATATATCCTTATCCTAATTAATAGGGCTGCTGGAAAATTAAAATAACAATAAAATAATACTCCCCTTGATCTAAATCTTCAAGATAGCCTTGCCTTCCTTGGACATCCACCTTGTGTAGACTTCTTCATCTAATTTCTTCATATTTATCCTATTAAATTAATTATTTAGAGTTGCTACAGCTGTGGAAACCTTTTTGGAGTAGGAAAGATTAAAATAAATAAATCTTGAAGCTTATCCAAGAAGAGGTGCCACTCGGGCTTCAAGGCCGCTCGGATTGGGCCTTTTGGCATGCAGATGGGCTGTTGGGCCGCGCAGGGCTGCTGTTGGGCGTGGGCTTCGGGCCACACGCGTAGGCCCATGTGGGGCGTGCGCTGGATGGCTGGCAAACATGCGTGCGCGCATGTGGGTTCCCTTCCCCTTGCGTGCAGCAAGCGTGCCACCTACTTGGTCCGAACAGGTGCACGGTTTGTGCATGCGATCAAAGGCCTTTCAAGGCTAATTCTTAATTGGGTCATGAGCCTCCTTGGCCGTAAGTCTTGACTCTTCTTGGGCCGTGACTTATTCTCCAAATCTATTAAGTTTACTTGGTCCTTAAGTTTCTTTTTGGCAAACTTAACCCATTTCTTGGAATAATCTCAATTAGAAAAGTAGTTAGGGATGAAATTACTTTCCTGTTTTAGGGGATCCCGTTTAGAAAACAAAATAATATTAGCATCGCTTTTCTGTTTGGGATGGGACCTAAAAGATTCCTCTTTGATGCAGGATTGCATCATTGGAACTAAATCTAAGTCGTCTATGATCCACTCCTTCTTCAGAAAGATTCATGTACCTCTTTTGGTGATAGAAGCATAAGGACATGATCCAGGTCGTTTTTTCGCAATGAATATCGATTGGTGCAGCCGTTATGTTGTACCTGCTGATCAAACTGCCAAGATCTCCCAAATATCAGTTGACTGGCATGTATAGGTACAATATTACAACATATCTCATCGTGATATTTTACGATGGAGAATGATACTATGACTTGTTCAGTAACTTAGATTTCGCCACACTCATTCAACTACTGTAACCGGTAGGGATTTAGATGTTTGATGCATGTTAACGCTGCTCTTTCCATGAATAGAGTGCTTGCCACATTAGCGCAGCTACCACCATTAATGATCATTCCACATACCTTACCATTGATAAGGCATCACATGTGCAATATGTTCTCCCTCTGCTCGTTGTCCTCTCCTGGACTTGCAGGTTCATGACCCTTTGAATAACAAGGATACTTTCCCGGAAGGAAAGTATTTCACTTTGATAAAACATAGTGAATTTTCCTACAAGGTAAAGGTTAATGAAAGAAAATCTCTCTCTCACCTTCACTCATGTTTACCTCACAATCTCTCAATTGACAACTTTGTCTGTCAAGTTGAGCATCCGAAATCAAAATCACTTGAATCAGGTTTGCACGTTAGTATTTATGACATAACAAGGAACCCTAAAAGGATCTCATTTCTATGAAAGCTCAGAAACAAGCACACGAAAAAAAGAACAGTGTGTTTTTCGTGTGTTAAGGAATTAGTATCAATTAGTCCCTTAATTTTAGAATGAAACAAGAGAAATAAAATAAAAAAAACATAGATCACAAAGATTGACAATAAAAACTAATGCGTAGGGATTCGATCAATTCCGATTGATATAACCAGAAGGTGTACCTATGTACACTATCCCCGATTTGTCAACTACGCTCTACAATAGGTCAAGTTTCTTTATGCAATGTTGATGTAAATATTATTAAAATGCAATTCGAAAATTAAACGTGAATAATGTTCGAAATGAAAATAAAAGTTTTCGCTCGCAAGGTGAGGTACTTTTCCTTCGATTTTTCAAAGGATTTTCAGTCACTAAGTAGGCGGTTATTCTGCTTGTGTTATGCAAAATGTAAACGTGTCAATTGCCTTATGTAGTGCAATTGAGATATTTTTGTATTTTGATATATAATTTTTTTTGAATAATAGAACAAACACATAATTACTTGAAACAAACGAATTAACAATCAAAATTAATTTGAAAATTAATTTGAAAACAAAAATGCTGAAAGCAATAAAGATAGATTTGGATTTTAGAAGTTTAAACTCTAATACCAGATGATGCAGAAGGATATGGAAAGAATCAAATCAACTCTTATAATCCACTCAACGTTATGCAATATTGAAACTTAACCGTCTAGAAAACTTACTCTAATTGAATATACAATTCTAAAAGGAATGTAAAAACAAAAACTAGATAAATTAAATAATAAAAGGAAAAACGTCACGGACTTACCAATAAGTTGATCTCCGCTTCTTGATTCAATAAAACTTCTAAAGACTCCTACTCCTCGAAAAACTTGAAAAAATTAAATTAGCAAAAATACTAATTGAAAAAAAGTCTAAACTTTCTAGAATTTCTCTCAAATTGATTGTAATTTGTGTACTTACAACCTATGAATAAAAGTTTGTTTATAACCTTTCTCGGGATAATTCTAAATGATTACAATCTTTTAAAAAAATTAATAAAATAATATCGTAAATAAAATTTTATCTAATTCTAGGATAATTAAATAATAAAATATTTATTCTATCACGTCTAAATACAAGATAATTAATTAAATAATCCTAAAGATATAATTTATATTTAAATAATAATAAAAATAAGATAAGGTTTTATCTCATTTGATTTCCATGTAAAACACATGGAAAAATTAATTTAGGCATGTGGGACTTAAATTAAAACATGGAGAATT